GATGTATGTGGCCTAATGTGGTAGATTCGTTGCTCAAGTATTAAGCCTTGGGAAGCGCAACTAGCGGGCAACTAGCCCATGGCGCCGTATTTAGAGCGTTGGACGTTTAACTGACAATGTCGAGGGCTTAAACTTCGTATGGGGCACTACTTGGGGTTGTGTCCGGCCGGCTAATAAAGGTTAATAAGCCAGAAAGGTCCATTCCAGCCTCCCTGGTCTTTGTAGATAATGTCATCCTGACTGTATATTTGTATGCGTACAGCTGAATTGTTTATCGGCCGAAAAATCTCCTTGCTAACCCTATTCGCGCAAATTAATTGTTAAATATTAACAGTTTATGTCACTGGCTCGTTCCAGCGATGTGCATCTGGACGTTATGGGCCTGTATCTCCATAAAATGGTTTCGTTTGCATTCTTTTTTTGTGTTTACCGCCACACACGATGGACAGAAATTATCCACATACCGACCATGGGGCAGATCCGATCGTCTTTAATCAGGCATCGGATCGCCTTTTTGGGTGCCTCGTGCACGATTACGAAAGACAGCGGTGTCCAATTCAAATCTGCATTCTTCTTAGCCCTGTTCAAGATTCTTGGCTGTACGCGAATTCAAACATTGACCTACCAGCCGACTACCAATTGCGTGGCTGAGCGTTTCTACCGTCAGCAAAAGATCACACTGAGTGTTGCATAGAACCCAGCTAACTGAGCATTTACTCGGCACTAAAGTATGATTTGGATTGCAGCACGGTCGAATCGATTGTGGGCGCTACACTCTGATTACCAGGTGAGAGGGTCACTCAAACCTCTCACGGTGCCGATGAGAGTCCCAATAATTTTGTCCATCGCTTGCGACAATTCACGCCCTCACTTTCCCTGGTTCACCCCATTACCCCACTGACCGAGTTTTATGTCGAAGAAGTCTAGGCCAACTACATGTATATGCTTACTCGAAATGACTGAGTTTGCAATCCACTGAAAACGCCATATGAAGGGTCGTTCCATGTTCTTTCGTGCAAAGTCAAGACCTTCACGGTGCCAAGGAGGATGTGGTCAACTTCGATCGGGTAAAGGCTACTGAACCCGATGAGCCGCCAGACCTAGATCATAGGCATAACGGTGCTGAAAGACTACGCCGTGTTCTTTCACTTTCCAAACAACTTGCCGCAATTTCCCTATCCTCTCCTACCCAAACAAACCCCTGATCCGAGCTCTTCTCACGCCACTGACATTCGCAATAGGCGTAGCAGTCATCGAGATCACCTTCCCGACATAATAATAATAATAATTTGTATATTTAAGGCCCAAGGGGCCCCGTCGTTA